GCCACCTTAGGTGTATGTGGCTGGTGCCTTAGCCACTTGAGCCACAGGCGCCGAGCTTTCACATTCTTTTTATAGAAAGAACAATATATACCGCTAAAGACCCTCATGTGCCTTGCCTAATCCCATTCCTTTTCTTCTGTCATTGAAAGGAATCACCATCCTGAAATATTGTATATATCCTCTGTTCACACTTTATATTGTACTTAAACAATCTTGTATCAATTATATGTAGTGTTACAGGTTTTTAAATTTAAGGTGTGAATTTAGACTCTAAATGTCACTTTGCAACTAGATTTACCATTTTTAGATGGCTTTATGTTAATGCACATAGATTCTGTTTATTCAAACTGCCATGAACTACTTTGAGAGAGAGAGAGAGACGGAGGGAATAAGAGAGGGAGGTGGCAAAGTGTTAAATTTGGCAAATCTGAGTAGATATTGTAAAGGAGTTCTTTGTATTATTTGTGTAACTTTTTATAAGTTTAAAATTATAAAACAATATCACTACTGATTCACTGTATTAGCAGGAGGCACTTTGGAATAGAATTAGAAAAATGTATATTTACAATAATGACACAAATATTTACCAATAAATTAAACATTTAAAAAATAAAACAACTTATCTAAAATTCTGTATTTTCCCAAGAAGTCATCTTTTTTTTTCTTTTTGAGACAGATTCCCACTCTGTCACTCTGGATAGAGTGCGATGGCATCACAAATCACAGCAACCTCAAACTCTTGTACTCAAGAGATCCTCAAATATCAGTCTCCTGAGTAGCTGTGACTACAGGCGCCTGCCACAACACCCACTAGTTTTTCTATTTTTAGTAGAGACAGGGTCTCACTCTTGCTTAGGCTGGCCTGGAACTCCTGAGCTCAAGCAATTCACCCGCCTCAGCCTCCCAAAGTGCTAGGATTGCAGGTGGGAGCCATCACACCTGGCTGAAGTCATCTCTTTCTACTCTATTTTTACAGGTAAATTTATTTTTTACAATCACTTGTACCCTATTTCCCATCTTCTTCATTTTCACTAGCTGAGATGTTGACAAGTGAAAAAGCCACCTTTTTGGAGATGAAAAATGAAAGTTACATTTAAGAATGTACT